AGCCTTTGATATTTATGACGTGGCTGCCGCGTGGGGCGTTATGTCTGCCATCGACACTCCGTGACACATGACAAACAGCAAGCTGCGGCCAACCAGTGGCATAATCAACATCCCCATCGCCATGGCCATAGATATAGATATAGCCATCGCCATCGCCATAGACGCCGCCTGCCGCTGCTGTTGCATGAGTGGCATGTGTAATTAGCCTGTCAACGTCTCCCACCTCCCGCTCTCCCGCTCTCCCCATCTCCCACTCTGCCACTGTGTCTCCCAGTCATGCAGCGTGCAGCGTGGAGCATGGAACACGGGGCACATTGTATTGCGGCTGGTTTCGCTTGCATTGACGCCAACTGCAGACGGCGGCAAACATTATTTGATTGCCGAAAATGCAAATTGTCGAAGCGATTAGCACTGGGGATGGTTGTTGTTGTTGCTGTTGGATGGCGGATGGCGGTTGGCGGATGTTGTTGCATGCAACAACCACGATGACTAAGATGATGCTGCAAAAACTTACATCATACGCTTTCGGTTGCCATCCGCGCGATCGTGTCTGAGGAATGTCGGAAGCCAGGAGGAAACTCTGTGGAAACCGCAGACGGAAACCCTGGCGCAGGATTTGGAGAACAACAAGAGAGGCAGCTCAAGACAATAATGTTGCATAGAGAGCGGATATTTGATTGAATTTCCGTAGCCAGCTACGTATCTTTCGAGGCGCGTATCCGTATCCCGTATCCCAATCAAATTTGTCTTCGGAGGAGTGCCGTTGTCCTGGCAATGGCACCTCCTAATTATGTGCGGAGCCCCCGTGTGTGCCTACCGTGCATATCAATGGCGATATCAAGATGCGATTTATGCGACTTTTCCTCGAGTGGCGTGTGGTGGGTGCTGGGTGGGGGGAGGGGTGTGGGGGGCGTGCGGCGTGTGTATGAAAAAGTCATTAAAATGTAATAAATTAGGCCACGTAAAGAAGCCACACATTGGATGCGAGATGGTGAATCAGAGATGAATCAGGGGTTCCTTTCATTTTCTTTCTTTTTCCATTGGGTTGCCATGCCCCTGCCCCTGCCGCTGCCCCTGCCCCGGCCCATGGCCGCCGCCCACCATCTCCCACCGCGGAGGCAGATGAAAAGTGTATTAAATTGATTTCACTTGATTTTCCCGCTTGTACTCTCGTCGTACTTTATTTATTTTCCGCTAGAAAGGAGCTATGGTGCCATTCGGCACGGGGAATGGGGATGGCCACCGCCTCTGATGGATGGTGGATGTGGGATGGGCTCTCTTCCTTGGGCCTCTGTGTATTCATTTCGCATTATTGCAGAATCCACACGAGCCACGCGCGTAATACATTTGCCTCTCCTCATCGCCGTTATACATACGAGTATGTACATATATGTATTTGTTGTGCCTTTGTGGGTAATGAATATCACGCGCTGCTTATTAAACCTTACGCATCGCTGGGAATCTAATAGAAGTGATGCAAAAGAAGAGCTAGAGCCGCACCGAAACAGAACGTGCCTGTTGGGTAATTTAAGCATAAAAATATCACAAAATGAATCCCAGGCCGAGCCAAAGTCAAAGCCAACAAGAGCCCGAGAGACGGCCAAGAGAATAGATGCTACACTCGTCGAATATCGTGTCCCATAATCGAAGGCAGATTGATAGGGTAATATCTGGTTATCCATCTGAATCTCCAAACAGAGACCCATAAAAAAGATGCCATTAACAGATCTTAAGACAAGAAAACGTTATGGATGGAACGAATGGAAAATATGAACTCTTATATTTTGTATTTGCTGGATTCTTGTGTAATATTCCTCTGAATATTGGAAGAAATCCACGCAAGTAACAGATCATTTTTATCTTAGAAAATACTCTGTAAAAATATGAAGATGTGGCGGCGGGGGAGAAGCTCTTCTGCTGAGGTGAGTTGAGGTGAAAAGGAGAGAAGGTGGCACATTACTGCGCGGCCATAACATAACCAAACAAAATGCTGTTCCATTTCCATTCTGTTCTACTTCCTTCCACGTTTTTTTATTTCCTTTTTTCTAGCTCTTTTGCCACAACACGAAATTTTACTTCCTGTGAAATGGTGGGAATCTGGAGAGGGGCGGAGAGGTGTGTGAATGGGCGAGTGGGTGGATGGGTGTGTGCCCATATGAGTGTACATATCCGTTTGTCAGTGGTTCTGTGTGTGTGTGCGTGTGTGTGAGTTGTTTTGGGGCAAATATTACAAAACACAAACGCCTGTTTCCGTTTTACTAATTCGTATGCTGTTTGCATTTGCATTTTGTAGGCAGCGACAGAGGGGAGGAGGGACAGAGACAGAGAAAGCAGGGCTCTCCCTTGAAACGGATGCCTAGAGGGGAGCAGGGTAGCAGGGTAGCAGGGCAGCAGGGGAGGATGGCTGGTGGGGCAGGTGGGGCACGGGAGCGTGCGTGCGTGCGACATATATGAAAAATATCCTTGAGCCAGAGAGAGAGAGAGGCAGCGGCAGAGGCGTAACAGGAGGCAATGTGAACGAAAAATCGAAAATATCGCGAAATTTACGGGGTACAGTGGTTGCCACACGACTGCGGGATGGGTGATGGAGGATGGGGGTGGGGGTGGCAGTGGCAGTGGCGAGAGATACAACTCCCTCCCATGTTGTCGTTCATTTTGCATAGCTCAAAAGCAAAGTGCCAAAATGGTTTTCGGGAGGAAGGAATCGAGAGATGGAGATGGAAACGGTGGGCCTGTTTGGGGTTGGGGTGGGGGTGGGGGGTTGTGTATCCAAAAGTGCAAAAGGAAATTCATGCATATGTGAGTGGGGTGGAGTGGGGTGGGAGGCAGGACTCCCCCTATGTGTGTCTGTGTGCCGCTGCCGGAAAGCGTTGAAATGTGCTACAAATTGAATTTTATTGAAACGTGTTTGAAATTTTTCGTCAGACATTTTCCCAACCGAAGCCCCATCCCATCCCATACCATCCCCCAAATGGAGCAACAACCCCTCCCTCTACCAAGGATGCGGGCAGGAGTACGGGTGGAGGTTGGGGCCGGGGGTGGCGGTGGGGCGGCAGAGCTCTGCTTGTTTTGGCCATTGTAGAATGCAAACAGGCAATCGCCAAGTGTCGCACACTCATTCCATGGCCATCGCCAATGGCGAACTATTCAAATTTGGGCGGCAAATGCTTATTCAGTGGGTGGGTGGCCGTAGCGAGTGGGGTATGGGGAGACTGCTGGTTGCGATGCCCGACAGTCGAACAAAAGCAGCTGCCAGCCCAGCCCCACTATTCGCCACAAAGGAGAGGAGAGAGGAGCCGGTCGGCAAAGAGAAACCTAATCTAAGGCCGAAGAGGGTTGTCAGAGCTTTGATGCCGCCAGGGTTGTCACCAGCTACGAAATAGCATATGCTCTTCCTCCGAATCGCCGCCACATATGCCACAAATGTTTTCCTTCAAGCATCCAATGAACGGAGGACTTTCAAATAGAGTTGTCAGGCCACAGAAGTCACAGAGTTGCCAGCTTCCCCTTCCCCAGCATCCCAGGAGGTATCCTCTAACCATTCTTACCATTAATTGAAATCAAAGTGGCGTCTTATCAATTATTAACCCGAAGAACATTCCCCCATTCCACCCAAGTGGCATTTCTCCTTTAAACATTCACCTGAGTCACCATTCAGGTGGAGCCTGGAGCCGCTGATTCATCCGACTGCACATCATTCACAGTCCCAGTCCCAGTCCCAATCCCATTCCCAGTCCACATTCCACATCCACAAATGCACCACGTTTTCGCTAATCTGAACGCGTTCTGGGTCACCAGAGAGTCCCAGTCGGAGTCGGAGTCGGAGTCGGAGTCTGATTCAGATTCAGATTCGGAGGCTGATGCTGATGTGAGGCAAGTCAGGTAGCCCTTAATGCTTTTTATGGCCTATGACCCCACGTTAGCCTCCGATTCGGGGCATTTCATTAGCCAAAGTGCCGACTGGCAACCTGGCGACCTGGCGGCCAGGCGACAACGACAATGACAAATGTCTGAGAGCAGGAGAACGACAGTAGCCCTATATCTCACGTCTGCTCCGAGCCCGCCTTCTGTTCGGCTTCTGTTGCTGCTATTCTGCCCAACATTTTTCTGTGTTTTCATTCAAATATCGAGAGTATCGACGAAGTTTGAAATTAGTTGATTTGTATTTATGGTAAATCATGGGATAAAAGCGCACAGGTAAGCAGTAGAGCCGGGCATCAGGGAGGTGGGACGTGGGGTGTGAATCGATTGAGACTCGTTTCGGCTCCTATTCCGACTTTGTGCCTTGTCAATCGGTGACTAATGTTCAGCAATTTGGCTAAGCGACAGAGAGACAACGGAGACAACAAACAGCCCGTCCCGACCCGGCCCAAAAGGAAAGGAAAGAAGAACGAACGGAGCGTCGCCAGGTAGGGATGAAAGCAAGAAGGTAAGAAGGAAAGATGGAGCCCAAAAACGAGAGCTAAAACGCAAGGACAAAATCGTTAAAATGTTAACAACAAGCTGGGGCTAAAATAAATCAATGCGCTTTTCGTTATTTATTCCCTTTCAAGTTCTCTCCAGCGTCTCCTCCTGCTCCTCCTCCTGCTTCTGCTCCTTCGAGGCATGGCGGGTGGGAGTTTCCTGGAACGCTGGCATTCAATTTGTTTATCAGCAAGAAATTGAGTGAGTGTCAAGTGAATGAATCAAGTGCCAAAGTGGCTGTAGTAATCGGAGTCGGAGTCCAGCCCACCAATCCAGCAATCTAGCAATCCAGCAATCCTGCAATCACCGCCCTGTGCTATGCCACATCCGAAAGTGGAGGCCAGAAGGTGACAATTCTCTCGTCTGATACTCGATTTCTTTTCTAGGAGATCCCAGATGTATTTAAGAGCATAGCCCACTCTCTCGCAAAACATTCACAAAAGTGCTGACACGAAGCCATCGACTCGGCCTTGAGTTTTTGGGATTTGAAAGGTCTATTGGGTTGTCTGGGTCATACACATACAATTCGTCGAGCAGCACAGTCCCACATTGAACACAACAGAGTTCAGATCAGGTTTTTGCGTGTTCCTATCCTTTCCATATATTTTTTTCAATCCTAAATTTTACTTCGGGTCGAGTTCGTGTTTTACAAATTTATTTTTCGAAACTTCGGTAAATTTGTCGAGTGAAATGCTGTCGTCCGGATCGGTTAAACTGTTGGCACTGGGCACGGCCGGGGCCCTATTCATTGGCTACTGCGTCTACTTCGACCGGAAGCGCACCTCGGCGCCGGACTACAAGAAGAGGGTCCACGAGCGGCGCGAGCGGGAGGCGAATGCCGCGAAGGAGCAGCTAGCTGGGCTGGGGATCAGCCGGGGCCGCCCAGGACTGGCCGGGGCGGCGCGCGGCAACGCGGACGACGACCAGCTGGAGATGGAGATGCAGATGCATTTCGTGAGCGAGGTGCAGAGGGGCGAGCGCCTCATCAAAGAGGGTCACGTGGACCAGGGCCTCACCCACCTGTCCAACGCCATCATGCTGTGCGCCCACCCGGGCTCCCTCCTGGAGATGCTCGAGGCCAATCTCCCGGAGCAGCTGTTCCGTCCGCTCATGATGCGGCTGGCCGAGATGAACCGGCGCGGCAGCAGCAGCGAGGCTTCCAGCGAGACGACCAGCGAGCAGCCCAGCGAGGACTCTGCCAGGGCCAGCAGCACCAGCGCCACCACCACCAGCGCCGCCACCAGTGGCGCCTCCCAGCTCGCAGCTGCCGTAGCGGCAGCGGCAGCGGCAGCGTCAGCGCCAGCGCCATCAGCAGCTACGGCGACCCAACAGCCACAGCCCTAGAGCCCCATTCCCGGAGTCCTCTGTGGCAGTGGTGCGGAGGACAAGGCGTGTGAAGCTCCACTCCTGCATGCACTTGCAGACTGCAGTTTCATGCACTTTACCCTCCCTCATCTGCCCTCTGGCCCGTACGGAACGGAGCCGTGCGGAGCTGAACCGAGACTCAACAAATCTTCGCATAGTTATATTCAAAATTATCAGAAAATATATAAAAATAAATAAATAAGTAGACTAGCAATCACCTGCCAACCTGCCAAGCGGTTTGGCCCCTTAAAGATGCCACTTTTTGGCTCCTTCGTTTGAATGGCAGTCAGTGACCCCGGGAAAAAGAGTCACCCTCTGATAGCAGACATGCAATAAATTTTCTTATTAATTTTTGTCGCCTCCGCTTTCCTCTCTTTTCCTCTGGCCCCCCCGTTGCTGTGGTTGCCTCTTAATGAAGCAGGAAGTGAACGAAAGGCAGGGCCGGGCAGAGGGCAGGGCAGGAGAAAATTTGTATGCGATAAATCACAAAAATATGTGAGACGCTTAAGAACAAAAGGAACATCCGAAATATGTCAAATGATTCATATTAAAGTGCGCGGTTATGTTCGCTCCACTCGGTAATAAATCAAACAAAGATACAGATACATTTATGCGAGTATGTACCCACATACACGACTCGTACGAGTATGCATCCACTTCCACTTCCACATATTCCGAGGAGGCAGTGCGTAAACGTTGCCCCTGCGTTTGTCATTGTCTCTGGGTCTCGGGCCATGGATTTCGTTGAGGATGTATGTATGTATGTCTGTAGATGGGGTTTTGGGGACTGAAACTGGAACGCGAACTGCGACTGCGACTGCTGCTGCGACTGCGACTGCGACTGCTGCTGCGGTTCTCGTGTTGCTGAGTCGCGTGCAACCGCGTTGATATATTGATTTGCTCGAGCTACTTAATCAAAATAACTCCCGGGAATGGGAATGTGAACGGGAATGGAATGGAATGGAATGGAATGGGAATACGTTGCGCGTTGACAATTCCACGAATTTTGATAGAGTTGCCGTTCGGCCACTCAGATTGCGGTGGAAATTTCGTGGGTAATCGAAATCGTCGTCGTAGAGACTGTGCCAGAATTAAACTATGAGGCTATGAATGAGCCGCACTGTAGTTACGGACCCATCCCATAATTGTGCTTCAGTTTTCGAACTTTCGTGGCGAGTTTTCCGCTCAATTTTGGAAGCGACTGGGAGGCCCAGAGCCTCCCAGAGCCTCCCAGAGCCTCCGAGAGCCCTGCCCTGCCGTAGCCTACGAGTACGGCTCAAATTGGCCAAAATGTTACCCAAAAGGCAACGACGGAGAGAGACAGACAGCCAGTGAGAACACAATTCGAAACTCGAGGCGAATTTTCGGAGTTTGCGGCTGCAGAGTTTTCCGGGGTGGGCGAAGGGAGGTGTTGGGGGCACCACGAAACGCGTTATGTAAGCGTATTTAACTTTATTATTTATGCCACAAATGCATACATATATGTGTGTGTGTGTGCGCTTATTAATTTATAATACACTGCGGCCCTGCTTCTGCATCTGCCACAGAGCGACAGAGCCTCCTGTGTGCCTCAAAACTTTCTATTCAATAAAATGCCGCTGCCTCTCCTGCTGTTGTTTTTGTTTTTCGGGTGTACGGTGGGGGGTGGGAAGGGGGTTTCCTTTCCACCGAATGCGCAAAACTTTGCCATTTGCTGAAGCCACTAATATTTTCCAATGTGCAACTCATTCCATATTCAAAATGGGGGGCATGAATGGATAACAGGAGGCACATGTCTGGGGCACACATTGAGATAGTTCTAATTACGTTTCGTTCCGGGAATGTCCGATGTTCGATAATCGACATTGTGGTGCCCCTTTTCCTCTATTTCGGTGGACAAAATTGGGTCAGACTCAGACTCCGCCATTCATCGATACCTAATGAGGCAGCCGCCACAAAGGCAAACACACTCGTGAGCCTGGGGACTGGCAGAGGGGTAAGCCGGGGATTGTGGCAGAGCCACACAATGGGCCCTTCCCAGGAACCATCTTAAGGGAACAAGTGGCCAAAGTGTTGCCCAAATGTTGTTATGGCGGCAGGAGGCGCCATGAAAGGGTGGGCGTGCAGCGACGAGACGCGCCAGAATCCACTTCGGCCAACAGGAACATAATGGCATAAAGCGTTGATAACAAATTTGCGGATTTCAACATGAATGAATTCTCCAGTGGGTAAGGACACACACACACACACACACACACACACACACAAGGGACAGAGAGAAAGAGAATGGACTTAGAAAAGACCGAGGAAAGAGACAGGGGCATAGAGTGCACTCACTGGAGGTCCTTATTGTGGTGTGTGCGCGTGTGTGATGGGCCCTGAGCCTCGTTCTTATGGGTAGGTGACATTTTGTTGCCTTAAGTGGCCGAGCGGCAAAATGACAAACATATGGCCCCCCATGCGACGTGACCCCCCTTCTCCACACCACCACCACCCACCCCCTATGACCCCATGTCTCTGCGGGCAATGTAACGCAGTGTCCGGCTTAGGATACGGATCCATGTCCCTGTCCGTGTCCGTGTCCGTGTCCATGTCCGTGCTCGAGTCCATGTCCATGTCCCTAGTCCAGTCACGGCCTGCTGCCAGCATGTCAACATTTGGTCCGGCGCCTTGAGACGCCCAGCGTTGGACGCCCGGCCATCAGGGGACATCAGCCTGATTTTCCGACTTGGGCTCTCTGTGATTTTTCGGTCGTGGAGATGAGAGAAACGCTGACACAGCTCTGACGAAGGCTGGTGGAGCAGGGAGCAGGGAGCGGGGGGAAGCAGGAAGTAGGAGAATAAGGCATGGGCCATGGGCCATGAGGCATGAGGCATGAGGCATGAAGCAGAGACAGAGACAGAGGCAGAGGCAGAAAGTCAGCCTTGAATGATGGAAAGTAGACAAAAGAAATCAGTGAGGACAACAACAGCAGCAACAATACGTGCAGAATGCAGCAGCAGGATGCTGCCCCCAAGGATACGGGACTCACACACACAGACACACATACAGACACAAGGCTCTGTCCTGGTCTTCGTCTACGTCCTCGTCCTCGTCCTTGTTGACGTTTCATTTATCGTAATCAAGTGCGCAATCAATGCGAAGAGAATTGAACTTAACGGTTGCCTTTTCTCCCTCTCTCTCCATCTCTCCATCTCTCTCTGCCCCTCTCTTTGTCGATATCCCTATCCCTATCTCTATCTTGTGTTTTGTATCTCAAATCCTAATTTACTTTGATTCCTTTCGAGGTAGGGATCACAGGCGCATAAAGAGCCTGCAGGCTGGAGGCCAGCGGCCTGAGGCCTGCGACTGACTGGCGAATGAATGACAGACAGCGACTGCTGGCTTTGATCAATACGTGAACTTTTGACCCCTTCAAAAGCGGCAGAGACAGAGAGAGACAGAGTGCTCTCTTAGAACTGTTTATATTTTACGAAATGAAGAAACCAAAGAAGGTTTTAAGACCTGGATCCTATAGAAGAGTTATCTCTGTCGCGCGTCATACGGCAGCGCCTCTCGGTCGCGGTAGTAAGCGTTTTCCCAATAATCTAGCGAATAAAACCCACAAGGAAAATAATTATCCTGCCATGAAACCACAACCATAAGCGTCCCATCTTCTCAAGCAGAATCTTCAGAGCCCACTCGAAAACTCAATCCAACTAAAATCCCAGGGAATCGAAACGAGCAAACCTGCATTCGATGCCCAAAGAATCGAATGATTCGCGTTTTGAACTTTGGCTAAAACCGAACTAAAAAAGAAAAACACAAACTAAACGGGGAGAAAATGAAAATGGAAAATGGAAAATGAAAAATGAAAAATGAAAAATGGAGGAAGATCCTTGCCACCAATTCCGCTGCCAGAGACAGCTCCTCCGAGTTGTCCCCTCAACCGAGGAGGGACTGATAATGACAAAGGCAGCAGCAGCACAGTGGAGTGGAGTGGTGTGGCAGAGTGGTGTGGCAGAGTGCACCACACAGCCAAGTACAGTCAGCACATTTTAACGTTGACTGACTGACAAAACAAGAAAAAAGGCATCAGCGAACAGAAAAGGCACCGAAAAAAATGGAGGGAACAGAACAGTTGTTTTTTTTGTTTCGCTAGCCAAAATCGTGCCCAAAACTTTGTGGCCGACCGCTTGACTGTTGGAACTTTTTGGGTTCCACAGCCCCACATCAGGCTCGGGCGGCTTTGGGCCCAGACTGAGGCTCGGGCTTGGGCCCTATCATGGCCGGCGAATCCGTTTTAGTTCCCTTTTCTATCTATCTCTCTGTGTGCGAGTGTATGCTCCCCGGTAGCTGGTAGCTGCTGCTGGTACGTACTCGTACAATGGCTAAAAGCGACGACGTCGCGCGATATTGTCAGCAGAAGAAGAGCCAAGAGACATGCGGCAGGCGGCGGGCAGCGGGCGGCGGGCGGCAGGGAAAAATGCAATTTCTGTAGAGCAAACCAAAAATTTCCACGACGACAACGAAAATTGGATGAGCACTCGCCTCCGCCACCGTCACCGTCACCGCCACCACCACCACCCCCTGCCCAGGATTCGGATTGGAATTGGGAAATGGGTAAATGGGGAAGGGGGAGTGGGTGTGGGTGTGGGTCCAGTCCATGGAAACTGGCAGACCGACGAAGCATACAAAATAACCACAAACCCAAGCTGCATATTATCTATGAATGTGGTTTTTGTCGTACTTCTGGTGTGCGGTGGTGGGTGGTGTACGGTGGGTGGTGATGCTCCCCGTTTCTCTCAATTCATTCTTTTCCACCATTTGTTTTTTTCCTTCCTTTTTTAAAGTCCCGAAAAAGCGGTAGAGAGAGAGGCAGGGCGGAGGGATAGGGCGGAAATTGTTGAACAAAACTTAAAGCTCAACGAAATTGTTTTCGGGCGACAGTTTTTGTATGCGCCACGCAGGCCTGGGCTCCACTGTAGTGGGGCTCCTCCCTGGGTCATTGGTCCTTCGTCCGAGGCTTGTTAGGCAGCGGAGGAGAAGGCCGGGGGAGGCAGCAGCATCATCAGCAGCTGGTGCATGTGCAAGTTACAAGCTGCATGTGTGTCCCCCCCTCCCCTAGCAGAGGCAGCCAAGAGCCACGCCTCCCTCCATCCAAGAATCAAGCCATTGATTGGGCCAGCGCGAAGCAGGTGGTGCGCTGCACTCGAAAGAAGATTGTGTCCGGCAGTGCCAGATCAGTGCGGCATT